GAGAAATCTGCATGTGTTAGGGGCCGGTGGCTCCGAGCGCTCGCACGGCCCGTTAGTATGAGAAGCTGCGAGCCGGGCTTGGTGCAGACAGGGCAAAGCGGCGTGTGGGGGCATGCGGCGGCCACCTCTGAAGTCCTGCTCGTGGGGGTCGGGGTCTGAGCCTGGGACAGAGCCGCAGGGCGACACACCAGGTCTGTCCTGGGTTCTGGAAGAGATGAGACACACTCGGCCCCGAAGGGCAGAGGGCGGGACGGGCAGCCACGCGAGGGCAGCATGGCCTCTGGGACAGGCGCGCAGCCCGAGAGGGAGAGGCTGCAGCCTCCTGCCTGGCCGACCCAAGGTGCGATCGGGAGAGAACACTGAGAAGGTTCTGCTGCAGAATGTGTGCACTCGGAAGGCCTGATGCCAACATGCTGTGTGGACAGGGCCCCACGCTGCCTGTCCTCTCCGTCACCACCTGCCGAAATGCACTAACTGAAGAGAACACCTACGGGGGACCAGGCAGAACCTCCCAGCTCTGGGCAGGGCTCTGCCTACCAATGCGTGTCCTCTAAGTTGGTGACGCCCGCTGCTGGCGAGGGCTGCAGGCTGGCGTCTTCAAAGCCCCTGGGGAAAGCCTGAGAGCAGGCTACCCCAAGGACCAAGGACAGACCTCACGTGGAGGACTGAGGTCAGGCACTTGGAAAGCTTTCCTCGTCACAGAAGGAAACCCCGACTCCTCGCCTCCCAGGCTGCCAGACACGCACGCAGATCTGACATGCACAGGCTGCATGCTGGCCCCTGTCACGGCTGCTGCGCTGCAGGACGCAAACGCAGGGCCGCCCTTCTCTGGGTGTGGGCAGAGATTACACTCTGTCCTGAACGTGCTTTCCAGTGAGGAGCTGCGGAACGACGACGTAATTCTTTCCATATACCACGCTAAGCACAGAGCCATCCTCAAGGCCACGCCTGCGTGGGGCCAGAACCTGCAGCCATGAGACACACGAGGGACGTGCAAGTCTGACCTCAGCCCTGCCCTGTGGGTGTGGGAACAGGCCAGGATGCCTTCCCTTGGGCCGCCAACAGTGCTGAGCCTGGGAGGCCTTGTGCACCCGTCTTCTGCGAGGACGTGCTCAAGCCCCACCTCCGACCTCGCCCAGGAGAGCGACTGGCTGCGGGGCACTCCCAGGGGGACGTGAAGCTCGCAGGAGTGTCCTGGGGACTCCATGCCCACCCTCAGCCAGAATCCTGCCCTGTGCGTTAGTGGCGTTAGGGCTGACCGAGCACCGCCGGCCCGCGCTGCCGGGTTAGTTGAGGTGAAGCGACGTTAGCTGCAGCGCGTGGCGCCCCGCGGCCCTAATCGCAGTAAATGCTGTGCTTCTCACTGCAGAACACAGGGGTGGCCAGCCCGGTGCCCTCTGCCCTGTCGCTGGCGCAGGCGCAGGTGTGACTTACGCTCGGGGTGGCCGGCTTGGCCTTGGGGGTGGCCTTGGCGCGGCCCCGCCGGGTCTGCTCGTGGTCCAGCTCAAGCAGCTCGAGTCGCTGGGTCAGCGCCAGTTTCTGCTGGATGGCCATGCGCAGCAGTGAGTTCAGCGTCTTCTTCTCGTCCTCCGCGGCCGCCAGCTGTCGCTGCATCTCGTCCAGCTGCGTGATGTACTCGTCACACCTGGGGGCCGAGAGTGGGGCTGAAGGGCCGGGCAGAGCCAGGCAGTGGAGGGCGGGAGCCCCGAGGGGCTGCCGGCAGTGTGGCCGGAGGTTCAGCTTG